TACCTTTACGTAAATGGCACTCAAATATTTCTGCTTCCCAAAGCGAACGATTGATAGAAGTGAAAACACACCCACAGAACTCATGCACCGCACTTGGACTACAATGGAATACGTGCACTGACGAAATTAGTTTCAAAATCACACTCAAAAAAGATGTGAAAAGTATTACAAAAAGAACAGTCTTATCAGAAATTGCGTCGTTATTCGATCCGTTAGGATTATTGGCACCATTGATTATGCCAGCAAAAATGTTTATGCGTCAACTCTGGCTAGAACAAGTTGGTTGGGATGACAGTTTATCAGATACTCGAAAGCAAGAATGGGCCTTGATTAGAGCTTCATTATTACGGTGTTCAACGATTCGAGTGATGCGTTGGAGTGGGTACCATACTAACCACAAACATGTATCACTTCACGGTTTTTGCGACGCATCCGAACAAGCGTATGATGCTGTACTATACCTGCGTACAGTGTTAGAAAATGGAACAATTGAAGTGCATCTAATCACGGCTAAAACCAAAATTGCCCCATTGAAAAAATTGTCGATACCACGACTAGAGCTCTGTGCTGCGTCATTATTGACAAAATTAATGGAAAAATTTATTAAAACTATTGAAATCCCAGATTTGAAACCATATGCTTGGACCGATTCAGCAATCGTCTTAGCTTGGTTATCAACACCACCATGTAAGCTGAAACCATTCGTTTCTCACCGTGTGTCGGACATACAAGACAAAATTAAACCAGATTGCTGGAGATATGTTAAATCCACAATGAATCCCGCCGATTATGCAACACGTGAAAAATTTGCAAATGAGATTGTCTCCCTCACACATTGGTGGAATGGTCCATCTTTTTTAGCCGAGGAACAAGACAAATGGCCAGTCACACCTTCTCACATGATTTCAATGAAGAATATGCCGGAACTGCGTCCAAAAATACTACATCAACAAGAGACAAAACAACAGGAGCCACTAGTCGAAAGCCCTATCCTTACTAGATACTCATTTTTAGGACATCTATTACGTGTGACGGCATATATCGCTCGTTGGTTGAAACGAAATCGAATGCATCGATCAAAACAAGGTATCACCGCCGAAGAGTTATTTGCGGCTAAACAAATTTGGATTAGATATGTCCAACAATTGCATTTCAGTCAGGAAATTAATCACATCCGAGCAGGAAAATCGCTTAATGCTCGAGATTCATTGTTGTCACTTAACCCATTTATAGATGAACATGGTATTCTGCGAGTAAAAGGAAGATTGCGAAATGCTCTCCTGCCTCATAATACCAAATATCCTGCAATCTTACCAGTATCAAGTCATTTCACTAGATTAATCATTCGCCAAGCCCATTTTAAGGTCCTTCACGGTGGATTACAATTGACGTTACGAACAGTTCGTGAAGAAGTTTGGATTGTTCGCGGGAAAGAAGAGGTTAAACGCCAACTGAATAAATGTATGACATGTTTCCGTGATCGATGCCGACCAGCACAACAACAAATGGCTGATCTCTTGCCTCCGCAAGTCCAACCCAATCGCCCATTCAGTCATACAGGTGTGGATTTTGCTGGGTTCTTTGAAATTAAGCTTTCAACAAAAAGAAATGCTGGAACAACGAAATGTTATATTTCACTGTTCGTTTGCCTCACGACAAAGGCCATACATTTAGAAATTGCTCACGACCTATCAACACAAGCTTTCATATCGGCATTGAACCGTTTCGTTTCACGTCGTGGCATCCCGAACGATATGTTCAGCGATCGAGGAACTAATTTCATAGGGACTGCGAATGAACTACCCCAATTATGGTATCAAGAAGCATCCAAAGAAAGCCAATTGATCCAAAAAGCTTGTGCAGATCATGGAATTTCTTGGCATTTCAATCCCGCTCGGGCAAGCCATTTTGGAGGCATATGGGAAGCTGGGGTTAAATCAGTCAAAACACACCTTCATCGCATCTTGAAAGACACAAAATTGATTTACGAAGATTTCAATACAGTGCTAATACAAATTGAAGCGTGTCTCAACTCCCGACCATTGTGTCCGCTGAGTGAACACCCCGACGATTTAGAAGCTTTAACTCCTGGGCATTTTTTAATTGGACAAGCTCTGACAACCCTACCTCATCCCAGCGTTGAGCACATTCCGATGAGTCGGTTATCTAGGTATCAGGCCTTGCAACGCATGACACAAACTTTCTGGGTTTGTTGGTCTCATGAATACTTGGTTAAGCTACAACAACGACCGAAATGGAAAAAACCACACGCTAATCTAGGGGTCGGACAACTGGTGATTATCAAAGAAGATAACATTCCTCCAACAAAATGGGTATTAGGACGTATCTTGAAAACTTACCCCGGAAAAGATCAACTGGTCCGATGTGCCGAAGTAAAATGTCGAAATACGATAGTTAGTCGACCAATACACAAACTTTGCCCATTACCGATCGACGATAATTTAGCTAAATATGAGCGCTTGATAAACGATCAATCGCTCATCCCCGGGGAGAATGTTGATGTGAAATCAACAAATTAATCATAACAAAAAATCATGCATTACAATAAAAATCATTTAAATAGAAACATTCCACGCATTCATTCGCAATTCACATCAACGTACACATTTCACTCATATTTACACACAACTTACGTTTCACTCACTCAAAGCATGCAAAAAATCACCCATTCACGCATACAAATCAAACAAACTACACAGCAAGCATTCAACAGACATACTACTACACACGCACGCATCCATTCGTCAAACCATCCACGCATAAGAGTCGGACATAGCACAAAGCGCAGGCGAAGAAAACGCAACAACAACTATACGCCTCCACAGAAACGGTGGCTGTGTTGTCTGTAGTATCACCGGCAAACGCCGGTGCACTATGTCGTCGAAGATAGCACAAAGTGAAGGTGGAGAGAAAACAACAACAATTTACACACCTCACACAACCGCTGAGCGTCTGACTGATGCATGCATAATGAGTAAGAGCGGACAATCTATTGCCGTTCTCATTCTTTTGCATATGCTCTTACCAAACACGCGGGTATAAAAGCCCGGGCGCCGCATGGAAAGGGCCTATTTGTTTGCGACTCATTAGTAGAGCAACATCTCGAGACTCACAGCAGATCGAGTTATCTCAAGCCTTCCATAGATTGAGTAAATGTTCAACGTAAGTGAAACGACGATCAAATAGCATTTAAAACCTTACAAAACGAAAGACACCAAAATATATGCATGAAACCCAATTCTTTAAACCTTAAACCAAAAAATAGAAAAAAAAAAACATTAAAACAAATACACTACAAAATTAAAACTAAAAACCTTATAAAACAAACTCAATTTAAATCACAGCCATTCATTTTCACTGCCACACGGCAAAATTAAAAACCTAAAAAACTAAAAACCTTATAAAATAAACTTAACATAAATCACAGCCAGAATAAAAGCAAATTACCAATCATTTTCACTCACATTCATTCCTTTTCGTACACACAATAGATAAAGCAATAGCACACCAATCAACCAATCCATCTCCCATCCAAACACATTCACACACACACATACACACACAAGTAAATACAGTCTACTCTCACATTCATATCACCCGCACTAACACACACATTTAAATTACAGTGTTCCCTCATAAACATGGTCCTTCGACTGTGAGTAGCAAGCAAGTGCGTCGACAGTGGAATGAACTAGTGCGTCAATCAGCGATTCGACCAAATCCCACGTGCACGCAGGCTCGCTTGTCACAGCAAATACGGGCAGCTCGACCAACGGCTATAATTCGCCCAACTGTTAATTGGGTACCACCGACAGATACTTATCGGCCTACGACACCAACTTATGCGCCATCGCCGATACCAACAACGATAACAACATCAACACCGATACATTCACCAAATTATGTGCGGTCACCAATAACGCCGCCAAGAACAACATCAACACCGATACCAGCACCGATACAATCACCAACAGCGGCATCAACGATCGTTCAACCACCACATCCAGCAAGATCTGAAGTATCATCGGACTCAGACGTTTTGCAGATATCTGTGTTGGAACAAGATCTCGAACTATCATCCAGTGACAGCGAAGCTCCTTTGGTTATCGACAGCGAGCAAACCGAACCATCAAGAGCTCCGTCTCCACCTGTGCAACGTCGATTGCCATCACGCGCACAAGTAAATAGAGAACGGTTTGCGGCCATCCGTCAACGAGTGAATGCCAATCGGAGCAACACACCGTTTACATTGCCAACCATTTCAGCACCGCCTCGACGAGCATTATCACCAACATTCGCTCGATTCAATCCTGGTTTAGCTGCACCACCACAATCACAAGACAATTCAGTTCAACCAGCCATCGTGATTAATAATTACTACGGTGTGAATCTACCGAATTCTCTGCCTCAATTTGCACCACGAGAAGCCGATGTTCGCCGTATGACTCGTGGCCAATTCGCTCGATTCTGTAAACGGTCAACACAACGCCAAATTGCAGAGGCTCTGGCTCTACGAAAAGAATTTAAACGCAGCCAACCATACTGAACAAAACATCAACCAAACTTTCAAAGTGCCAAATAATTGAATTTTCATTCGTTACCGCGCCTTTTGCGCCACTTCCATTTTGAAGTGACCTTTTACACTCTAAGCATTGAATTTTTTTCCAAATATTGAATTTTTTAGTTTATAAGCATTGAATTATTTAGTTATAAGTTGAAGTTGAAATAAAAAAATCCTGAAAAAAAGGGGAGTAAAACAAACAAAACCACTCTTACCTTCTTATACTTACCTCTGTATTTCAGCAAAAAAAAAAAAAAAAATAGATAAACAAATATAAAAAAAAGATCCCAAAAAAAAAAAACCACAGGCCACAAAAAACCGAAAAAAGGGCAAAAAAGCCAGAAAAAGAGTCAAGAATAGACCACAAAAGAGCCAAAAAAAAGGGGAAAACAGATAAAGAAAAAAAAAAAGAGAAACCATGTCAAAATTAGAAAAACTTTTGTCAGTCCGTAAACGAGCTCTTGGAGACCTCGACCATCATGTGGCCGAAATAAAAAAATTCAATGAGCAAAGCAACACGACAGCCGTTGCCTTTCGCACCGTTGCCTTGGAAAAGGCATTCAGAGAGTTTGCCGAATCAAACGACGAACTGGAAAAAATGTCAGCCTATCATGAGATCCAGCAATTGGACGACTTAAATTCCGAAAATCGCAAGGTACAGGACAAGTACCTGGAAATCAAATTGCATATTGCCACAATTCTGCCCAATGATGAAAATACATTAAACTCTACCTTCTATCCATCCCCCCGCGAACGATCAGCAGAAAATGCGGAATATTCAGGTGAAAAGGCAACTGGCATCAAAATGCCAGCAATTCAATTGACTCCTTTCGACGGTGACTACGAAAAATGGCCTGAATTTCGAGACATGTTCACCTCTTTAATGAATAAATATCGTGGCGATGATGTGGAAAAATTGACTCATCTAAAAAATTATTTGAAAGGTCCCGCTTTTGAAGCCGTAAAATACTTAGGTCTTGAAAACGGCAACTACGATGCAGCATGGGATGAGCTGAAAATCTCGTTTGAAAATAAAAGCGCTATTATCGACGCAAACCTTCGAAAATTCACAGAGATACCATTTATTACTTCGGCCTCTGTACAATCAGTACGACACGCACTTTCCACTACACGCAGTTGTTTGTCAATGATCAAACGATTTGATATATTGACGGATACGTGGGATCCAATCATGGTCTTTCTTCTAAAAGAAAAATTGAGCCCAGAATTACGCACCAAATGGGAGGAAGAAAGAAAAGGTTCATTCGAACCAGCTTCGCTAAAAACCTTCTACAATTTCTTGGAAATAAGAGCAAAGGTCTTATTGGCTATGCCACCACGAAAACCATACCAAAAATCGACACCAGTCATTAAACCACCGGTAAAAACGTTTACCTTGACTAAAGGTGAATCCATAGAAACGCCAGGCAACGACGATCTAAGTCACGAAGAAGATTTAGCTTCCGCAATAAGTGCCGATGATACTGATGCAATGTTTATGATCAACAATCGTAAGACAGAAAAATGTAATGTTTGCAATGAGAATCATCGTACATTTCATTGCCCGAAATTGACAACCAATTCAAAGGAAGCGCTGAAACTCGTCAATGAGTTAAAGTTATGCATAAACTGTTTATACAAACATGAAAGTTCAGCTTGCACATCAAAATTCGTTTGCCGAACTTGTGCCAAAAATCACAATTCATTACTTCACGATGCACTCACGGCATCTACTGCTCAGCAAGTCCTGACAATCGATGTGAATAAAAACACTTGGTCGAAGGGACATTCGAAACGAGCACTCTTGGCCACAGCTCTGGTTCCAATAAAATCAAAACATGGAGAAGTGGTGCTACGGGCATTAATTGATCAAGGATCAACCACGAATGTATTGAGCGAAAGAGGCGCACAGCTCATCAACTGTTCTCGAAAGAAAATTATGGAAATTCCAATGCTTGGTCTAGGAGGAGTGCAAACAGGAAAATCAAATTTCAAGACATCAATTGTTATTGGTTCATTGTATGAAAAATCCTTCAATCTGTCGATCGATGCATATATCACAGCTCATATCACGACAATCCGACCAATTTCAGCAGAAACCATGGCATCTTGGTCCCATTTAAATAGCATCCAACTCGCAGATCCCGATTTTGCCGAAAATAAAGCAATTGATCTTCTGATTGGCACACAAACATTTGGCGAAATCATTGAAAGTGGCTTGATTAAAGGTCAACAAAACGAGCCAATTGCACAGAAAACTAAATTGGGTTGGATCACATCGGGTTCATACAAAGCAAACACTACAAGCGAATTGATTCAATGCCTCGAAATGGCCGAAGAAGACGAGGTCATTTATACAAATATCTTAACCGACGAAAATTTGTCGGAACAACTCAAAGCGTTCTGGGAAATTGAGGAGATAAACGCAAAAAAATTATGGTCTGAGGCCGATCAAGAATGTGAGACCAGGTTTATTGAAACAATCTCTCGACATGATGATGGCAAACTGATTATGCGATTACCATTCAATCACGATACAAGCTCCGTAGATTTTTTAGGTGAATCATTTGAAAGAGCAAAATCTCGTTTCTTTCAATTAGAAAAACGATTCGCCAGAAATGAAGCATTGAAAATAGAATATACAAAATGCATTGAGGAGTATATCGCGCTGGGTCACGCAATTGAAGTTCCCATGGAAAATTATTGTCACGCCATCCCTCACCACGCAGTCTTTAAAGAAAGTAGTACAACCACCAAACTACGAGTGGTATTTGATGCCTCAGCAAAAACATCAAATGGCTATTCGCTTAATGATAGATTACATATCGGACCCACCATTTTAGAAGACATATGGGCAGTTTTACTTCGTTGGCGATTGAAAAGAATTGCGCTAACTGCCGACATCGAGAAGATGTACAGGCAATTTTGGGTCCACCCAGAGGATACAAAATTTCAACAAATCCTTTGGCGATCTAATTCAAACGAACCAATAAGATTGTATGAGCTACAAACAGTAACCTTTGGGGAAGCACCCGCTCCATTTTTGGCAATACGCGGTCTTCATTACATTGCAGATGAAATTAGCACGAAACAACCTGAAGTCGCTCAAGTAATCAAAAAGAACTTCTATGTCGATGACGGCCTCCCATCTGTAGACACGATTGAGCAAGCCAACGATTTACAAACAAACCTGACAGAGGTTTTCTCACAGTATGGTTTACCTTTACGTAAATGGCACTCAAATATTTCTGCTTCCCAAAGCGAACGATTGATAGAAGTGAAAACACACCCACAGAACTCATGCACCGCACTTGGACTACAATGGAATACGTGCACTGACGAAATTAGTTTCAAAATCACACTCAAAAAAGATGTGAAAAGTATTACAAAAAGAACAGTCTTATCAGAAATTGCGTCGTTATTCGATCCGTTAGGATTATTGGCACCATTGATTATGCCAGCAAAAATGTTTATGCGTCAACTCTGGCTAGAACAAGTTGGTTGGGATGACAGTTTATCAGATACTCGAAAGCAAGAATGGGCCTTGATTAGAGCTTCATTATTACGGTGTTCAACGATTCGAGTGATGCGTTGGAGTGGGTACCATACTAACCACAAACATGTATCACTTCACGGTTTTTGCGACGCATCCGAACAAGCGTATGATGCTGTACTATACCTGCGTACAGTGTTAGAAAATGGAACAATTGAAGTGCATCTAATCACGGCTAAAACCAAAATTGCCCCATTGAAAAAATTGTCGATACCACGACTAGAGCTCTGTGCTGCGTCATTATTGACAAAATTAATGGAAAAATTTATTAAAACTATTGAAATCCCAGATTTGAAACCATATGCTTGGACCGATTCAGCAATCGTCTTAGCTTGGTTATCAACACCACCATGTAAGCTGAAACCATTCGTTTCTCACCGTGTGTCGGACATACAAGACAAAATTAAACCAGATTGCTGGAGATATGTTAAATCCACAATGAATCCCGCCGATTATGCAACACGTGAAAAATTTGCAAATGAGATTGTCTCCCTCACACATTGGTGGAATGGTCCATCTTTTTTAGCCGAGGAACAAGACAAATGGCCAGTCACACCTTCTCACATGATTTCAATGAAGAATATGCCGGAACTGCGTCCAAAAATACTACATCAACAAGAGACAAAACAACAGGAGCCACTAGTCGAAAGCCCTATCCTTACTAGATACTCATTTTTAGGACATCTATTACGTGTGACGGCATATATCGCTCGTTGGTTGAAACGAAATCGAATGCATCGATCAAAACAAGGTATCACCGCCGAAGAGTTATTTGCGGCTAAACAAATTTGGATTAGATATGTCCAACAATTGCATTTCAGTCAGGAAATTAATCACATCCGAGCAGGAAAATCGCTTAATGCTCGAGATTCATTGTTGTCACTTAACCCATTTATAGATGAACATGGTATTCTGCGAGTAAAAGGAAGATTGCGAAATGCTCTCCTGCCTCATAATACCAAATATCCTGCAATCTTACCAGTATCAAGTCATTTCACTAGATTAATCATTCGCCAAGCCCATTTTAAGGTCCTTCACGGTGGATTACAATTGACGTTACGAACAGTTCGTGAAGAAGTTTGGATTGTTCGCGGGAAAGAAGAGGTTAAACGCCAACTGAATAAATGTATGACATGTTTCCGTGATCGATGCCGACCAGCACAACAACAAATGGCTGATCTCTTGCCTCCGCAAGTCCAACCCAATCGCCCATTCAGTCATACAGGTGTGGATTTTGCTGGGTTCTTTGAAATTAAGCTTTCAACAAAAAGAAATGCTGGAACAACGAAATGTTATATTTCACTGTTCGTTTGCCTCACGACAAAGGCCATACATTTAGAAATTGCTCACGACCTATCAACACAAGCTTTCATATCGGCATTGAACCGTTTCGTTTCACGTCGTGGCATCCCGAACGATATGTTCAGCGATCGAGGAACTAATTTCATAGGGACTGCGAATGAACTACCCCAATTATGGTATCAAGAAGCATCCAAAGAAAGCCAATTGATCCAAAAAGCTTGTGCAGATCATGGAATTTCTTGGCATTTCAATCCCGCTCGGGCAAGCCATTTTGGAGGCATATGGGAAGCTGGGGTTAAATCAGTCAAAACACACCTTCATCGCATCTTGAAAGACACAAAATTGATTTACGAAGATTTCAATACAGTGCTAATACAAATTGAAGCGTGTCTCAACTCCCGACCATTGTGTCCGCTGAGTGAACACCCCGACGATTTAGAAGCTTTAACTCCTGGGCATTTTTTAATTGGACAAGCTCTGACAACCCTACCTCATCCCAGCGTTGAGCACATTCCGATGAGTCGGTTATCTAGGTATCAGGCCTTGCAACGCATGACACAAACTTTCTGGGTTTGTTGGTCTCATGAATACTTGGTTAAGCTACAACAACGACCGAAATGGAAAAAACCACACGCTAATCTAGGGGTCGGACAACTGGTGATTATCAAAGAAGATAACATTCCTCCAACAAAATGGGTATTAGGACGTATCTTGAAAACTTACCCCGGAAAAGATCAACTGGTCCGATGTGCCGAAGTAAAATGTCGAAATACGATAGTTAGTCGACCAATACACAAACTTTGCCCATTACCGATCGACGATAATTTAGCTAAATATGAGCGCTTGATAAACGATCAATCGCTCATCCCCGGGGAGAATGTTGATGTGAAATCAACAAATTAATCATAACAAAAAATCATGCATTACAATAAAAATCATTTAAATAGAAACATTCCACGCATTCATTCGCAATTCACATCAACGTACACATTTCACTCATATTTACACACAACTTACGTTTCACTCACTCAAAGCATGCAAAAAATCACCCATTCACGCATACAAATCAAACAAACTACACAGCAAGCATTCAACAGACATACTACTACACACGCACGCATCCATTCGTCAAACCATCCACGCATAAGAGTCGGACATAGCACAAAGCGCAGGCGAAGAAAACGCAACAACAACTATACGCCTCCACAGAAACGGTGGCTGTGTTGTCTGTAGTATCACCGGCAAACGCCGGTGCACTATGTCGTCGAAGATAGCACAAAGTGAAGGTGGAGAGAAAACAACAACAATTTACACACCTCACACAACCGCTGAGCGTCTGACTGATGCATGCATAATGAGTAAGAGCGGACAATCTATTGCCGTTCTCATTCTTTTGCATATGCTCTTACCAAACACGCGGGTATAAAAGCCCGGGCGCCGCATGGAAAGGGCCTATTTGTTTGCGACTCATTAGTAGAGCAACATCTCGAGACTCACAGCAGATCGAGTTATCTCAAGCCTTCCATAGATTGAGTAAATGTTCAACGTAAGTGAAACGACGATCAAATAGCATTTAAAACCTTACAAAACGAAAGACACCAAAATATATGCATGAAACCCAATTCTTTAAACCTTAAACCAAAAAATAGAAAAAAAAAAA